TAATTGTAGAGATCCCTAGGCCTATTAACCTCAACTTGGTTTGGATGCCATTTTAAGACCGTTGTTCTGACATCTTCCTACTTCTTCAAAAGATCTTTAATAGCAGATATCGGCATAAATCCGCATTTTCAGAAGAAAACGTAAAAGAATTGTTTCTGTCAGAAATACAAAAGGCTGGAATTACAAGAGAGAGTTTCAAAGTTCGGGGGAATACTATCCGATCAGTATATACTGGGTAGAACGTCGATGTCGACGTCTTCCGCGCTCCGAAAAGTTTCGAATTGGTGCCTGAAGACAAAGGAAGACCAATCGGTATTCGTTATTTTACGTCGCTTCTTGTGTTTGCTCAGTGAAGTGTTCGTTATTCGAACATATGTTCGTTGTCCGATCATAAAAATCTTTCGCGCAAGTGTTCGTTATCCGATTTGTTCGTTAACCGATCACCCACTGTATTTATTTTTTAGAAAATACAAGGGAAGCGATGAATGCGCCGCTTCCAATGAAGGCACGTCACTGAACTACTACTACTATCAATAAGCCATTAATTGTTTTATTGTCTTGTAAACACATACATATTTAAATTTGGAACAGCATTAAATAAACAACGCCTGTCTTCATACATCCTTAAAGATATTATAATGTTTCAATTTGGTAAAGTGTATGATTAATATTTTGGGAAATTTTTGATGAAAAATATTATTTATGTAGCGCAAACTAGGGATATACTAATAGCAATATCGGTGTCAGTATCGGCAGTATCGGGATGTTCCTAGCGCCATCTGATAACTATAATAAGAACTAAATAATTTAGTTCCACTTTTAAATAATAAACCTAACTTATTTTCAGAAATTTTATAGAAACATTAATAAATAATTTAAATTATGTAAAATCCATTAATATTAAATTATATGCTTGTCACTACTAATTTACTTAAATATTTTTGTTGCCTTTTTGGAATGCGTTTTAATATGTAGTCTATAGTTATATTTAATACTACAGTGCGGGTAGAAAGTAACTAGGCATAGAGAAATCACTATAATTTCTGCATTTATAATGCAAAAATGATAAAAATTATTTAATGTGTACCTTATTAAATGGATGCATATATCTCAAAATTTAACGTAAATACCGGCCCCATCCACCACTGACACGTTTTCATCAAATAGTAATGTGAATGGACTGCCACTCCTCTGTCCGCCTGCATACGAAGCTATGGTCATTTTAGTTTTGAATGATAATTCTTGATTGTTTCCGGACGTATTTTGGCATGACGTCCCTTCATCATACGTCACAATCTCTGAACAGCAAACACTGATTTCCACACCTCGTAGAGTGCAGCAATCTGTGCTATCTTCTAAGCAGACAAACGGTCATCATTTTTTGCGCATGCAGCCACTTTCGGTCACTGACAAACCACTGACACAGGAATTCTAATATTTCATTGATTGTTACGTAAGGACACATAAATATTATTATGATTGAATTAATGTTACAAAAATTATAGTGTTTTCTCAACGGCTAGTTACTTTTCACCCAATATGTATATATCTAAATATAATACTTATATCAGAGTCGATAGATATACTGGTCATTGCGCTGCCAATAGCTGTAATCTATTATATTGGTTTAATAAATATTTCTGCCATTTCGAGCACTTCGATCGCGTATAGTCCTAAGTTTGGCTGGAACAAAGGGAGAGTCAGCTGTAAACATTCGAAATTATTTTAATATATGATATTTTCTCGTTTTTAAGTAAGATATTTCTTTTCTCTTTTTTAAACAATGTGTTAAGATAGGATAGATTTAAAGTGTTACAAAAAAAGTGACTTAAGCCTCTATCCTTTTTTATTTATTAATATTAGATGAATTATTGTAGTTTGCAGTGAGAAAAGAGCTACGATATACGTTATTCACAATTTATATTGTCTTTATTAATTTAATGAGATGGAGAGAGATTAAAGTTGAGCCAAAAAAAGTTAGGAACAAGTTAGAGAGAGAGATTAACAGTCAGTAAATTTAGTTCTTGATTTCAAATATAGACTGTTAGAGGAAAAAGTGGAAATTCCAACTATTTAGACAGCACATTCAACATAATTACAAGCATATAATAACTTAGATATGATTAGAGGTTGACAAATAAAATAGGTAAATGTAGGATGACAAAAGTTAAGACAGTATTATTAGATATTGACAGTGATAGCAATTATACTAAGTCTAAAAGAAAGATATGTTACTGGAGTTTTAGTCACACACACAAATATTCACACATAGAGAAAAGAAAACTTCGAACTTTCTGCATTTATCAACGTTTTAAGGTCGACCGAATCCAAAAATGTAAAAAACTAGTTCCCAAAATGCGACGATGCGTGTTATATAAATGAATGAGCACGCTGAAGAAATGAAATAATGGTTTAATTGTAAATGTTATCGTGAGGAGTGTATGTAAGGATGTGTTGTAGTGAAACCGCGAGCTTACCCAATCGTTTAAGCTTCTACGCTGAGCCCATAATCTCCCCGTTCATAAAATGGTCTTTAGATTTCCTCCCCGGGTCCCACGCTAAATACATCTTACCGAGGCGTGCTCCCGGGATGAAATGTCATTCGATATTTTCCGATGGAAACTCTTCAGCCTCCCGAAATTCTGTTGCAATACTTGATTTATCTCCATTGTTTATGAGAACCTATTGTTTAACAATAACCATAAAATTCATTGTTGGAATGATGACGTTTAATTATTAAATTCTGTAGAAAAGTAATTTTANGTGACATATCCGAATATGTAAGCTGAACAATAGTGTGGGGGGAGTGAGTAATCAAGGGTTGCGTGGCGCTCAAACAAAAGACGAATCGTCGAGCTTCGAAAATCGCGTAACTCCGGGTTCGCGTAAGTCGGGGTATTACTATATAGTACACTCATACATATTATCTTGTATGATGAAGTTTAGTTGCTGAAAATATATAGTTCATATTAGCGATATAGATGCATATTACTTTAATATTAATTTGTAACGTCGGACGGCAATTAAATGCCCATGCTGCGAAAACTATTATTAACATTTCTATCGACGTTGTACCAAAAATCATTACCGACCTTGCACATTTTGTTCATTGAAAAGTAGGGCCTATGTTTACTGAAATCATTGGCTTTACGTTGATATTGATATTTAGGACCACTGTTTTAACGAATATCGACCAATGTTGATTTCATTTACTGGGAAACTGTTATTCCAGAGTTACATCACGATTATAAACCGCTGTTGGCTGGACGTAGATTATCAGCGTTGGGCTAGTGTTACCGGCGTTGTACAGATGCAGATTCTATTTTTTTTAAAAACTCTTTTCGCTGTGTGGGCACTACGGGGGCTGTTTTTAAGTAAGCCCATTATGGGTTCGGCTAGTCCCACAATGAGGGCAGATATATACAGACAGATCACTCCGAAAAAGTGAAGTTTCCATTATAAATTTCTACTTAAAACTTCACTGAACTATTACACTTACTATCCTAATATCTACTTTTTAGTTTTTATCTATTATTAGCTAAAGTGTTTACTACATTTATACGTCCCGAAGGTATTTTAGCATAAGAATAATATGATCTTTGCTTATGGATAGAACTGTTATGCATATTTGCTTCATGCATAACAGTTTTGTCACTAAAATATTTAATTGTTTTGACAGTCAGGACTAGAAGAATAGTTTTTGCTAGTTTTTAATATCTGTTTTAAATCGTGTAATTGACATTCTGAGCAAAACACAACTTGATAATGACATTTGATTTAAATATTATTTATATAATTTATATTTACATATATTATTAAAGTTTTTATATTGTCAAGTAACTTATAAGGTATGTAAAATTGTTTTCAATTAATTATGAAATAAATTAAATTATATTGTTTCTGAAAGTTGTTGTGAAAATCTAAAAATTATTAACGATATTATTAGCAAACAGTTTATATAATGATTTTAAATTCCACTTAAAAAGTAAATTTTTCATTGTAATACAGTAATAATTTCGTCAATTTTACAGAAATGGTCTGCAGATTATTTTATATCTCAAGGTATGGACAGATCCAAACTGATGATTGGATTACCTCTTTACGCTCATACTTACAAGCTTCTTTCAAGATATAACACTACACCTGGTAGTGTAGCAACAGGTTCTGGTTTGGGCGGAGGTGGATTATCGTATCCCGATGTAAGGAATATTTATGATTTATTAAAACAATAAATTTTTATAATTAACTTTAAAATTATTAGAATTTAAAAATATAATCTGTAAATAGTTCTCTAAAAGTGAGTCAATTGAAATATATTTTTTACTTTTATTTCAAGAACAACTCTCTCTCTGTCTTCTCTTTTTTTCTCCTTCTCTTTGCTGGAAACAAATGAAACATGAATAATAACATGCAGCTGTTCTAAACTGGTTTAACCATTTTAAAATATAGTGCTCGGTTAACTGACTTTTGGACCACCCTTAATACATAAAGTAATATTTCAATAAAATCTGAAAAATGTAGAAAAACGTAAGATATTTTTAGTTTACTTATAACGTAATAAAGAAAACAATTAATTAATTATATCAATTTTATTACAATACGTCATTGAATATACAGTTAAAATCAATAATAAATTAATTTATTAATCAATTAGGTTTGTGAATTTTTGGAAAATGGTGGTACTCGAGTGTTTGACGATGAAGCCAAAGTCCCTTATGCGTTTAAAAATAGAGATTGGATATCCTACGATGATTATGAAAGCGTCAAAATAAAGGTAAGAACAATATATACACAATGCTCGTAAAGTCAGTTTAAACTGCAATATCGTTGATAAAATCCCTGATAAAAATAATTTAATACATTAGAAAGATAATCTCTACAGGGGAAATTACTAAATTGATTTCAGTAGTGAGGCTGTTTTACATATTCATCATGGTTTGGCCAACAGTTTTTGCCCCCGGGCGAATTGGAAAGAAAACTTTTTTCACGGGCCGAACCAGAGGCTGCCCTAGGAAGATTTTGAGGTGGTGCGAGATCTCATTATGGTGTCACCCTCGTAGAGACTAAATTGTACAGTACATACAGATTACAGATACATTTTTCACATTATCATGCATTATCTATTATCAACATTCTACGCTGTGTTTAAGAGATTTTTAATGGAGCGTTAACTCTAAACGCACAGTGAGTTGTTGACCTTTTTTTTTTTTCGTTTTTTTAGGCGTCAGAATTTTTCGTCGGGCTATTCGGTCTTGAGTAGCTAATATTGAAAAATTAATCGCGGGCCTCATAAATTCATCAGACGGGCCGGATCCGGCCCGCGGGCCGTATGTTGGCCATGCCTGGACTAGACCAACAATGGGGACCGTCAGATGATGAGGGATGGAACATGATATATCGGAAACACACTGCACGATTCTTGAAGTTTTTCGATAGAATCGATTCCGGATCCCCCAGAACGATAGGATAACACATCAACTAAAACCTATCGGCCATCGGCTGTCGCGAAGAGATCATTATGATTTATGGCTTTATCAGTTCTATTTATTAAAGCCTTACATACATGTATAACGTATTTTTCCATGAACAGAAAACAGAGTCTGCCTACTAGTGAAAGTTTAACTGAAAGTGATTAGAAGAGTGGAATCTTATTAGATTATCCATAGTCTTTCCCAGGAGCCGATGTTCATTAGTCTACATGTTAATCTACGAAGAAAAATAGTTTCATGTTCATCAATATTAATTATTTCTTAGCATTTAATTGTTTTATATAAAATTATTTGTGAAATACAAATTATATAAATAGAATTAATATTGTATTATTATTTTTCAGTCTGAATGGACGAAAGAGAATAATTTTGGTGGAGTTATGACATTCAGTCTTAATACTGATGACTGGAAGGGAACATGCGATGGAAAAACTAAATTTCCATTAATGAAAATCATTAAAAAAATAATTCACGAATAACGAATTTCGAATTTATATTTATAACTAAAGAAATATATTTTATACAAGTTTATGTACTGTGTTNTGTATTATTGTTATTATTATTACTGTATAATACAATTACATTTCCGATGAATATAGTGAGCGGCTTAATCAAGTGAAATGTTAATATGTGATAAATGCGTATTAAATGCCGTATTAAACTGTATAGAGTGCCATTTAAATAAATTTCTTATTATATATTTTAAATTAATGTTTAAATTATTTTCAAGAAAAAAATGGATTTAACGAAATTATATTTGAATGACCATCCGTTTCCATAAAAAAATAGTTTTTATAAATAAACAAATCACTTTAAAATCACGGCTTTAAAGAGATTTATTTGTCTTCTAATATGGTAATGAAAGCGTGGGAGGATCATTAGAAGAAACTCTCGCCGATACACATTTTATGTTTAGATTAGCAGTCTGTAGAACTTGTGTTAACTGCATGGCAAGGAAAATATTTGGCGACATAAAATTTTATCTATAAAATAAATGCTAAATAAAAAATATTCTTATTAAAACTTGTTTTTCAATGTATCATTTTTAATTGGATTATAAAGAAATATGTGCACTAAAAGGAAAAAGTATGGGAAACATTGGTTTAATGTATTGTGTTATTCCATATACTTATTTTGTAAAAATTAATAATGTTTTCGAAAAAAACTACGTTAAGAACAAATTACCCAATGAAAAAATAATGTTCTTTTTTAAACCCTGCCCTTTAAAAAATCCTACCGTATTTTCTCGGATTGTCCGGCAAGTCGTTCTATCCGGGGAGACCACGAAATCAGATTTTTCTGTATGGCAAAAACCGGCATGCCGGTTGAGGTTATGCATCCCTCTCTAGAGGGCTTTATTATAAAACTGTGAAACTGTCAGCCTTATATCAAAAATTATTATTATATGTTCAATTTCTTCATTTTGTCTTTTTTCTAAAGATGTAAAATATCCATGGAATTCGGAAAGTGCTTTTCTTGTGTTTATTTTTGCATTTCTGAATCAAATTACAATAAAATAAATATATTAAATTTAAGAAACTCTCGTTAAATGATCTTTCTTTTTTTTTCTTTCTTTATTGTTTCATATGCAGACTGTAGCCTTTTAATTTTTTCTCCGAAGCGCACCACTTAGCTAATAGGCAAAGCGGTTAGTGCGGTCACAAATCGTCCTCAACTTACACGATTAATATTCCTTGTGTGAAATTTTGAGGACGGTGTTATTTTTAAGGTCGGGGTAGGTGATCGGTGTAGCCTACACCAACTACTACAACAACCACTACAATGGCGTGCCGTGACATTTGATGATAGGGAAGCTGTGTTTTTGTAAGAAGCCGACATCCAGGGGAAATCAGTCAATCGCACGTCAGTGATGATCTAGGGTCCATTCGTATGGTTTATTCGATAAGCCAGTAAAAACCGTAGACTTCTATAAATGCATTTTTAATATCACAATTACATTCCGAATCGCTAGCCATGATATAAGGTATACAATTAAAAATAAAATAATAAAAACTTACTCGGTGAAATAAAATATATGGTGGATGTACCGGTACATACAAAATATTCTTCAATTGTACAAATATACTTTTAAAGAAAATTATAATTAAATATAGCTTTGTAAAGAAACTTACATAAAAATATAAAATATTCTTTACTTTTTAAATCTTAAAACAGTGCACTTACAAGTTAGTCAAATAGCTCCCTACGAGTGGTTAATGGATGGAATCGAAAACGGTTGCAGAGCGTGCATACACACGGACTGCCAAATCCCCAGGGTGCAGATACCGGTCAATGTCAAATACCTCTTTTGTCGCATCACTAGTATACCTCAAAGGACG